GCCATTTTTAGGTCCTCCTGGAAGCAAAGGGGGGTGGCATTCCACGAGCTCCCTCTTCATCGCCACCCTGCCTTCTGTCTGGCGATTGCAAACATGGATCAAGGGGGCGCGGATTAGCGACGGGTCCCGCTTCCATGGGCAATCGCGGCCTTCCGCCGCCGAGCGAGGCGGCACCGGCCGCATTCTGGGGAGGGCACCTCCCCCGATCTGTGGATTTGGCGACCGCGCGCCAAGTCCACGGATCGCTAATCCGTGCTTGCGCGCCCCCTCTCCGTCGCCACCCTGCCTTCTGGCCGCGGACGGGGTGGCCCCCCAGGGGGGGGGGGGGGGAGCGGGGCGTGGACGCCCCTCGGCTGCCCGCGGCCGGCCGCGCCCGCGGCCGGCCGCGCCCGCGGCAGGCGCGCAGCAGGCTGGAGGTGCTGAGGGACGACCGCCACGCCTGGGCCGCGGCCTCGGCGCCCCGCCCCAGAGCTCAGGAAGGAGGAGGGGGAGGAGCAGGAGGAGGAGGAGGAGGAGGAGGAGGAGGAGGAGGAGGAAGAGGCGGAGGCGGAGGAGGAGGAGGAGGTGCCGATACCGCCGCCCTTCCCTCGTTCTTGCAGTCATGCTGGCCACCAGCTCACACTTGAGGGGTCAAGCTTGAGCCCTACCAGCTCGAGCTCAGAATGGCCCTTGAACCAACAGCTTGAGCCAACAGCCTGAGCCAATGTTGAAAAACGCCCTCGCCGCCACCCCCAGATTCCTCCTCGAGGGCCCAGTCAGAGCGAACCCCGGGGACGGTGTGAAGGGCGAGTGGCGGTCTGGTCGGGCCGAGGTGGAAGATCGAGGTCGGTTCGGGAAGTGATAAGGTGAGGGCCTTCGCAGAAGGCGGCGAGACTTCTCAGAAGCCATCGCGCCTTGGAGCAAGTTCCCTGTGTTCTCGGGAAGGCTTCTAGAGAACGCTTCTCAGAAGGCCGGGGGCACTCACGAGCCTTGTGAGCATGCCCGCCCCTTCTCGCTTCCCCCCCTCGCTCGCCGCCGTCCAGGGTCACCGTTGCGCGTCGCCGACGCTCGGATGCGAGCCGGCTTGCCGCTCCGATGCGGATCGAGGGGGAGGAGGAGGAGGAGGAGGAGGAGGAGGAGGAGGAGGAGGAGGAGGAGGAGGAGGAGGATGAGAAGGATCGGGCCAAACGGAAGCGGGGCCGCCGGGGCGCAGAGGCAGAACAAGAGGCGCGTCGTGCCGCGCGCGGCGCGAGGGCGGCCCAGCCCAGAGACGGCCGGTGGCGGAACAGCTGCGCTGTGATACTGTTTTTCGGGTATAGCCAGGACCCCGGTCAAGGGGAGCCGGTTAGTGATTTGGCTCCGAAGCCCAAAATATGAACTGGAATCACTGAACCAGGTCTGCCGTACGTAGCCGGTGCTTTTCGGGTGGCGGCAGTTCCGATTAGTGGAATGGTTCTGGGGGGGCTTTCCAGTACACATCACTAAACCAGGTCCTACTAAAGCCAGTTCTGCCAACGCCCGATTTTTCTCTCGGCGGTGAATAGGACTGGTCCTAAAACTTCCTCCTCCTCCCCCTCTTCCTCGTCTTCCTCGTCTTCCTCCTCGGGGAGGAGAGGGACAGCCGAGCGGGAGAGGGGGGGAGCGCTGGGAGGGCGGGGTCTGGTTTGGGGCGGCTCCCGCGTGCACCGAGGCTGCGAACATGGCCAACACGGCCTCGCTCGGGCTGCCCGTCGAGCTGGTCTGGAGGATCTCGGCCGCGGCCGAAGAGAGGTAAGCCGGCGCCTCCGCACTCCCGCTCACCGCGACCATTCTGCACGGAGTGTTGGATCTTGGGGCCACACCCTGGCCAGGTCGGTGGAAGTTTGAGGCGCGCATCAAGATTCCAGCCAGGTCGGCGTCTCAGGCGGTCGAGCGCCATCTCCGGTGGCAGGCCGCCTCGTGGTGCAGCGTCGACCCAGGTCTGGCGTCTTCTTGTCACGTCCAGCCCCCTGGGGGGAGGTGGGACCTCGTCCTGAATCCGCTGTGCCGCGCGGTTTGTGTTCGGCATGGCCCAAACATGCTTCTGCTACGTGCGCGTCGGCACCCGAAGGACCAGGCGCGCGGACAGAACTCTCGTAGCATCTGCTCGATGGTGGGCGCTTGCTGGCCACACCGCCTGGGTGGCGATCTCGGGGTGAGGGGACCGAACAGTCATGCATTGTCCCTGGGTGCGTGGCTGACGTGTGCTTCTGCTGCGCGGATTCCCACTCCGAGCAGGTAATGTTGTCGATCCCCTCACGGTGCCCACCAGGCACTTCCAATTGAAGTGTTCCCCCGGGGGCTCGCATCCTGTTTTTCACACGGGATCGTCTTGCGCCGCAGGTTGCGATCCCCTGGCATCCGATTTACCACAACAGTGGATCCCGCCTGGTACTTCCTCACAGTGTATTCCAAAACCGCGCTCTCGCGCGGGACGTCCTCACGCTTTATCCAGGAATGCTCTCGCGTGGTCTTCCCTCGCAGTGTATTGGGACGCCACGCCGACGACACTCAAGGATGGAGCTCTCGTTCTGGACATCCTCACGAGTCACTTGGGAGTCGCTCTATCGCACGAACTCCTGTCGACTCATGTTGGATTGACGCTTCAGCGACCCGCCCGCTCGACCCAGCCGTCTAGGCCCGCCCGCCCGACCCGCCCGTTAGGGTCCGCCCGCCCGACCCGCCCGTCTGCTTCTGCCACTTGCACTCCTGCTCCTCACCCCCTCCTGCAAATCGCTTTCGTACTCCACTATTCTCCCTCCCACTTGTCTCTTCCCCCCCTCCCTTCGTTCCCGTGTTTTAGGGGCTGCGCCTACTTAGTTGGCGCAGCCCCTAAAACAGGGGATTTCTGTCTTGGGGGCATCTTCCTTACATGGCACGTGTAGTTGGCAACTGTACGTGACATGTAAGGAAGATGCCCCCAAGCGGGGCACGATGGAAAACGAAGAGGGTGGGTATCACGGGTTGGGGATTTGCATGCTACATGGCACGAGGCCATTTGACATCGAACAGTCTTAACATTATAGCTGTTGGTGATTGCCCATGTGTAGAATATAAGTGGTGTGTACCCCCTTCGGTGCTATCCTCTTTCAAGTAGGGTGCTCTTCCCAGGGCAGGCACCTTCTCCTATTGAAACTATTGCGCCTCATATTGTAGTGCTGGGCCCCGGCTTTACATACGCCAACAGCGGCTCACTTGTGAATCGCGCTAACGCTCGAGGCTGCCTCGCGATTTGTGCAGGACTCACACTTCAGCAACCCGCCTGCTCGACCCCAAGGGCATCCCGACACCTCGATACCCGCACTTTTCGTCTTCTATCGTGCCCCCTCGGGGTTTTATATTCCTTTCCTGCCACGTGTGTTCTGCGCAGCCCTTGAAACAGGAGGAGAGGAGGGCGGATGGAAGGAAGGAGCAAGGGGGAGGGAGAAGGCTGGAGCTCGAGAGAGATTATCAGGAGGGGGGCGAGTGACAGAGACGTGGCAGACCCAGACGGGCAGAACGGGCAAGTAGACCCCAACTGGCGGGTTGGGAAGGCGGGCACAGGAAGCCAGCACGCTGGCAGATGAGAACGAACAGTCGTAGAATTGGCTGTTGGGTGTTCATTACGAAAGAACTAGTATCGTTCCACCCCCTACAGGCGTCCTGGCGCTCTCGCCTCGGCGCCAGCTGCTTTTCCTGTCAAATTGAGGCCCACTCTTGATCGTTTTGGGATGCCGCCCGGAACCCAAATTCGTCGCAATTTACCCCTGGAGGGCCCAAGCCTCAGGAAGGGCGCTCTCGCCTGAGACTTCCTCGCAATGTAGCACCACAGAGGGGTCCTTCAGAGCGCTCATGCCGCTATTTGCGGATGCCAGAGCGGCCGTTTCGCTTGAGACTTCTTCGCAAGTTGGTGCTACAAGGAGGTCTGTCAGAACCTACTCGTGGATTCATCACGGCCTTTTCGCTCGAGACGTCTTCGCAATGTAGCAATACGTAGGGGGGTCCTTCTGAGCATTCTTGCTGCTTCTCGCCCATGCTGGAACGGCCGCTTCGCAGAAGGAATCCTCGCAATTCAGCAGCACATGGGATCCGTCAGACCAGTCTTGCCCTACTTGCGGAGGCCCCAGGGCGCTCCAGGGATAATTGTCCGGGGATCGTTTTCCAGCCTTTCCCACCCCCAGAAAGCCCCAGGATGGCTTTGGATGCATTATCTGTATTTGGATATTTGCTCTGGGAGCGCTTTCCGGCTCGGGGAACGATTTTCGGTCCTCCCGCCCCAAGGAGGCCACAGGAGGCCCCAAGAAAAGTTTTCCTGTATTGGGATGATTCTCTGTTCGGGCAGCGCTTTCGGGGAGCAGTGTTCGGCCCCCCCGTAGGTTTCGCCCCCGTGTTCCTTTGGAGTGCCCGTCGACTGGGGCTCGAACCCTTTGTGTTTTACATCTGTTTAATCTGTCCTTCGACCAGGGCTCGAATCCTCAGTGTTTCACGTGTGTTCCGACAGAACGCCCCCCTCCTAGGGCTCGAATCCTTAGTGTTTTGACTCCGCACCGCTCCCCAAATCGCATTTTTTTTTGCTTGTCATGCGAGCTGCAAGTGTGCATGTGCCTCGGGAGAAGCGTTGCCTCGTCGGGCGAGAAATGTGGGTGTGGGAAGATCGGCCCGCCTTGTCATTCCGTTCCCCCAAGAGGGGGTGGCCTCATGATGGGTCCATGCGGCATGAAGAAGCATGGCCGGTGAGGGTTTAATGATCGAGTGCCAGCTACCATATACAAATTGTCACGCTTCGCGTATCCCCACCAGCTCTGTCTACGTTTCGGCCTACCCAGTGACGCCTGGACGTCGCGGACTTCGCCTGCACGGGAGTTGCGCCTCGAAGAACCTGGACATGCTGGTGCAGTTTGCCCACATCAGCGGTGCCCCGCGGCCGTCAGCGGTTCCCTCACATCGCGGGTGAACTCGGCTTGGTGAGCGTGTGGTGTTAACCGTCTTTCGCGGCGGTCAGCTGCACCCCTCACTCCCGGCAGCAGTTTCGCAGGGCACCGGCACACAGCGCTGGCCCTCGAGGTTGGAAGTGGTGCTTGCCGTCCGTCGGAATGCGCACCCAGGTTCAGCGACAGCCGCGCTCCTAGTCGTCGGTAGCAGCTTTCCGCACACTTCGTGACCTGAGCGACTCTGAGTGGTTTTTTCCGGTCTGGCTGGGGTACCCCCCGCCGGTCCTGCCGTTAGGCGGTCTGTCCCGTTAGGTCGCCCAGCTGTGTGTGCTCCGGGCCATCGCGGGCTACTGCGGTTGGGCTCGGACGACGTGGTCAGCGCCTCGGTCGATTCAGCCGTCCGAGGGCCGCCCGCTTTATTCCTCACGCTTTGGCTGCTTCCAGCCTGCCGGTAGGCGTGAGCTTGCCTCGGAGTCTGGCGCCGAGTTGGCGACGCGCTCCGTAGCTTTGAATTTGTTAATTTTGTATTGTGCATATGCATATGTTCCTGCTTTCAGGCGCGTCTCAGCTTGCCATCCTGGCTGCTGCGTTCGCCAATTCGCACTGTGCCGTTGCCCCGGACACTGCTCTCGCCGCCTGACCGTTGCCTTGTGGCCGCGATCAAAAAAGTATCCCCACCAGCCCATTCGGAAACCCTGCTCATGAGTTGACGGGAACAGGGGCGAAGAGGCAGATTATGCTGACATTGAGCAGGCAAGCCGGGTGAACAAAGAGATCTCTGGGAGGAAGGAGTTGGCCTTGGGGGTTTCTTCGGGACATCCCTGGGGTCCGCGTGGGGGCGAGGAAAGGAGCAGGAGGAGGAGGAGGAGGAGGAGGAGGAGGAGGAGGAAAATGAAGACGACGACGACCACCATCACCACCACCACGCCGACGAGGAAGAGGACACGAAAAAGGAAGACGACTGGGGAAAGGACGAGGATGAGGAGGAAAACGAAGAGGAGGGGGAGGAGGAGGACAACGAGGACGACGACAGAACCCTCAAAATCGCCTCTTGGAAACTGGGGGTCTTTTGTGGGATATTGGGGTCCTCTTGGGACTCGTGTTGGGGTCTTGGAATCATCTTGGGGCCCTCTTCGGGCTCTCTTGGGGGCCTGTTGTGAGCCCTGGAGGGGCTCTTGGGCCTATTGTGGAGGGCGTCTGTGAAAAGAGAGGGGGTCGTAACGTTTGGTACCCCCGCTGGAGCCATCACAATTGCCTTTTGGGGCCTTCTGGGCTGCTCTTTGATTCTCTGAGGTCTCAAGAGCGCATCGGAAGCGACAAGGCGGAGAAGTCACACATCATTGATGTTCCTTCGGTAGTTGAAAGGTTGTGGTTTCTTGCGGGGGTCCTGAGAGGATTCCGAGAGCACTTGGAGCCGTCTTGTGGCCTTCGTCGGGCCTCTTGGAGGTCTTTCAGAAACCATCTTGAACCATGGTCGGCTGTCTTAAGCCATTTTGGAAGCCATTTCGGAGCATTGGAGGCCCTCTTGGAGCTACCTCTGGGCTCCTTGCTGGGATCTCGGGGTATTTTGGGGGGCTTATCTGGCTTATCTTAGGGCCCTCTTGAGGCCCTCTCGGAGCCCTCTTGGGGGTCCCTTTAGGAGCCCTGGGGGGTGCGGATGCCGTAACGGCCGTCTTTCTTGAGACTTCTTCACAATTTAGCGCTACAAGGGGTACTCACGGATGTCGGCACGGCGTTTTCGGTCGAGACATCTCAGCACTTCAGCACCACATGGAAGTCCTGTCGAGCATACCTAGACGACCGCCTTGCGGGCGATAAGGAGGTTGGGGGGGGATTGAGGTCAAATGCCCACCCTGACTGACCTCCAGCCTGTCACCTTGGGTTGGATCAGATACGATGGATTGGATTGGACCAGATACACTGGATAAGAGAAGCTGGATTGGATAAGACAGCCCGCTGCAAGCGCCGACGAAAATGAATTGATGGATTGGGTTGGGTGGATTGGGTTGGATGGGATAATATGGATGGGATAATATAAGATGGGTTGGATTGTAAGAAAGGGGTTGTAAGAATGGATTGGTTGGACTGGCCCGCCGCAGGCGCAGAAACAAATGAATTCATGGATTGGGTTTGGTGGATTGGGTTGCGTGGGATATTATAAGATGGGACAAGATGGGTTGGATAAGATAAGCTGGATTGGGTAAGAGAGCCCGCCGCAGGCGCCGAAAACAATTAATCATGAAATTGGCGACATGCGTTAGCGCCTGGACGCCCGGGATACCCAGGACACCCGGGACACCGCCCGGCCCAACTGGGACACCTCCCAGCCACCGGCGGACGGGAAACGGATTTTGGCTCCTACTGACACCCGGGACACCCAGGACACCGCCCGGCCCAACTGGGACACCTCCCATCCACCGTTGGACGGGAACGGACTTTCGCTCTTACTTCGACCTAGCTGCAGGAGGATCACGCGCAGCTTCGCCTCGCCCGCACGCGCGACACGAACACGAAACCGAAACCGATTTCCCGGTGGGGGGTCTCCGTTTCACTGCGATCTCACTCCCCAACCTCCGATTTGTTGCTGCTCGCGGCTGCCGGAACGGCCATTTCGCTTGATATTTGCTTGCAATTCAGCAGCGCAGGAAAAGCCGTCAGAGCAGTTTTGCCGCTACTCGGGGAGGCCCCAGTACCCTCCAGAGATTTCTGGTCGGGGCAAGTTTTCTGGTTGGGATATGTGCTCGGGGAGGGCTTTTCGGCCACATCCGTTCCAAGGAAGCATCAGGAGATACTTATCTGCATGTGGATATGCATTCGGACCAGGACTCCTGTGCCCTAGACGCTAGACGTGCCCAGGATTCCTGCGCCCTAGACCCCAGAGAGGGGTGGGGCAAGATTCGAGGGCCCTAGACTCCAGAGGGGGGGCAAGACTCCTGGGCCCTAGACTCCAGAGGGGGGAGACAAGACTCGCAGGCCATTTACTTCAGGGGGGGCAGGGGCATGACTCCTAGGCCATGTCTGCACGTGGGGGGGGCAGGGACTCCTAAGCCCTGGACTCGAGGGTTGGCCAGGATTCCTGGACAATGCACTCCAAGGGGGTTTTGCAAGGCTCCTTGGCTCTAGACTCCAGGAGGGGGGGGGGGGGGGGGGCACGACTCCTGGGCCCTACACCCCAGGCGTGTCCTGGACTCCCGGGACATAGGCGCATGGGGGGTGCCCAAGACTCGTGGGGCCTAGACCCCAGGGGTGCCCAGGACTCCTGGGCCCTAGAACCCACGGGCGTGCCCAATGCTCCTGTGCAGTGGGATCCAGTGGTGCCCCCCAGACTCCTTGGCCCTGGACCTCGTGGCCAGGCGAGGGGCGATACTCCTTCGCCCCGGGTTCTCGTGGGGAGGGAAGGGGGGGGGGGGGCTCGATATTCATAGGGAAGGGAGGTAAGGGGGGAGAGAAGGGGGGGAGAGAAGGGGGGAAGGGGGGGAGGGAGGGAAGGGGGGGGGGGCTCGCTATTCATAGGCTCTGGGCTCCAGGGGGAGGGGGAGGGCAGTCCTCGTGAACTCTGGACCCCGGGGCGGCGGGGCCGATTCCAACTGGTGGGGGCCAGGAGTGCGGGGCCCTTGACCCGAGGGGGTTGCCCGCAGCTCCTGGACCCCCCAGATTCCAAAGGGGGGGCGGGGCGAGATCGCCGTGCCCTGGGTCCCACGACTCCTGGACCTTCTATTCCGACTGGGGGGCAGGAGGAGTTCGGGGCTCTGGACCCGAGGGGGGGGCCCACAGCTCCTGGACCCCAGATTCCAAAGGGGGGGCGGGGCGAGATCGCCGTGCCTCGGATCCCACGACTCCTGGACCTTCTATTCCGACTGGGGGGCAGGAGGAGTTCGGGGCTCTGGACCCGAGGGGGGGCCCACAGCTCCTGGACCCCAGACTCCAATGAGGGGCGGGGCGAGGTCCCCGTGCCCTGGATCCCACCACCCCTTCGCCATGGCTGGTGCGATCCATGGGCTGCGGCTTCGGGGGCGCCGTGCACGTCTTGCGCCATCGGCTTCGCAACCCATGGGTTGCGCGGCACCATCCATGGACCGCGTCATGGGTGAATGATTGTGGCCTTGGTTGCGCCATTGGTTTCGTCATGGCTCGGGTTCTCCGCGGGTTGCGCGGGTTGCGCCATAGATTGTGTCGCCGTGGGTGCCGCCATTGTTTGTTTTGTAAGTTGCACCATTGGCCCCGCCACATGGTGCGCTTTCGGTTTCGCGCTTGTTTGCCGAGTATGACCAGGTTTCCCATTGGTTGCGTCACAAGTTGCGCCTGGATCATACGCAAGCTTACAATCGATCATACGCAAGCCTGCTGGTGTTTGCGCCGTGGGTCGCGCACTCGGCGGTCGAAGATAAACAGGACTGTTGTTGGTTGCCGCAAGGTGTCGCACTGGGCGACCGAACATGAAACGCCGTGCTATTGATGGCGCCAAAGGTTGCGCACTCGGCGGCGGCCTACAATTGGTTTCGCCCATGGGATGCGTACCCACCAGCTGGGCATAGATCGGCCTAACGCTGCTCTCGCCATCAGTTGCGCATTCGACGGTTGAAACTAGTCAACAGGCGCTACCAGCCAGTGGGTTGGCCACCCAGACTGTCATTCAACCATCAAGTTCTGTTACACAGTGAGTCAGTCGGCCGTTTCACTTTGCGATGGGCATAAGCGGGGTGTACCCGACATAAGACGGCCAGCAATCGGTTGCGCCATGGGCTGCGCGCTCGGCGACCAGACATACATGGCGTGCAAGTGGCTGCGATACAGGATGCTTGCCCCGTGGCCAAATGGCGAGGGCGTGCGGATATGGACTTTGCTCGCTGCGCGGGGCTCCCTGCTCCCCCCTCCTCCCTTGAGAGCCGGGCCCTTCGGTCTCCGGGTGCCCCCCGTCGGCCGTGCCAGGCGCAGTCTTCTCCTCTCCCTCGGAGTTTTGCTCCTGCTCTCTCTGGGCAGCAGCCGCCAGATCGAATCATCGGGCCCCTGGCTCTCCCTTCTGCCGTCAGAGCTTGGATCGCTCTCCCCAGAGGAGGCGTTCCAGAAAGGGCCGTGCCTTCCAGGGCTTGCCACATGACCACGGAGCACACCTCGTGCCCTGCCAGTGCGCGGCGACGAGGGGCGGGGCGGGACGGGAGGGCTGCGGGGGCCCGTGCCGCAGGATGCTCGGCGAGCCGTCCACCCGCCCGAGCCCGAGCGAGGTGCTGGCCGCCATGTCCGAGCCCGTGGCGCCGGAGCGCCGGAGGGTGGGCCTTGCTCGCGGAGGGCCGGAGGAGGGAAAGGCACCCGTACCGCTATCATGCCCTCTCCAGGGCAGGTGGATGCCGACGGCCGTGTGCAGAGTCGCTCTCGTGCTCGTGGCCGCTGGTAGCCCCCCACTGATATCTGAGATATCACCTTTTGGGGACCAGCTCAGCGCTGGCACGGACAAACAAACGGGGTCGCCCAGGAACGTTTATATATATAGATATATAGATATATAGATAGATATATATATATATATATATATATATATATATATATGTATTATATATATATATATATATATATATCGGAGGTGAGGGGGTGAGATCGAAGTGGAACGGAGAGCCCCCCACGGGGAAATCGATTTCGGTTTCGTGTTCGTGCGTGCCGTGCGTGCGGGCGAGGCGAAGCTGCGTGGGCGGGCGAGAGAAAGTCTCCCTGTGGCTGAGGCGCGGCCGGACCAAATGATTCCCTTCCGGGCGGCCGGGGGCCCGCGGTGTCCCGCCGGTGTCCCGCGGTGTCCCGCGATGATGATGATGATGATGATGATGATGATGATGAGATGATGATCATGATGATGATGATGATGATGATGATGATGATGATGATGATGATGAGATGATGATGATGATGATGATGATGATGATGATGATGATGATCATGATGGGATGATGATGATGATGATGATGATGATGGTGATGCTGATGATGATGTTGCTGCTGATGATGATGATGACGATGATGATGCTGCTGATGATGATGGTGATGCTGATGATGATGATGATGAGGAGGAGGACGATGAGGTTGATGATGATGATGATGATATGATGATGATGGTGTCCCGGTGATGATGATGATGATGATGATGATGATGATGATGTCGATGATGATGATGACGATGATGATGATGCTGATGGTGTCCCGATGATGAGGATGATGATGATGATGATCATGATGATTATGTTGATGACCATGATGATGACGATGATGCTGTCCCGATGATGATGAGTATGATGATGTTGATGTTGATGATGCTGATTATGATTGTGTCCCGATGATGATGATGTTGATGATGATGAGGTTGATGTTGATTAAGGCGTCCCGATGATGATGATTATTCTGATGGTGATGATGATGATGTTGATGATGATGGCGTCCCGATGGTGATGATGATGATGATGATGAGGATGTTGATGCTGATGTTGGTAATGATGATGATGGTGCACCGATGATGACGATGATGCTGATGATGATGTTGATGATGCTGATGATGATGATGATGCTGATGCCGATGATGAGGATGAGATGATGATGATGGTGTCCCGATGATGATGACGATGATGATGATGATAACGATGGTGATCATGATGGTGTCCCGATGATGAGGCTGCTGCTGCTGATGATGATGATGATGACGATAACTGTGTCCCGATGCTGTTGATGATGATGATGATGATGATGATGATGATGATGTTGATGTTGATGATTGTGATGATGGTGATGATGATGATGGTGGTGTCCCGATGATGTTGATGACCGATGCTGTTGATGATGATGATGATGATGATGATGATGATGATGTTGGTGTTGATGATGAGGATGGTGTCCCGATTATGATGATGTTGGTGATGATGATGTTGATGTTGATGTTGCTGTTGATGATGATGATGACGTTGATTGTGAGAGTGGTTGTGATATCGATAGTGAGATCGATAGTGAGACCGAATGTGATATCGATTGTGAGATCGATTGTGAGATCGATTCTGAGATCGATAGTCAGATCAATTGTGAGATAGATCGAGTGAGATCGATTGTGAGATCGATCGAGGGAGATCGATCGAGCGAGACCGATACTGAGATCGATAGTGAGATCGATAATGAGACCGATCGAGTGAGACGTTGGTTCCTCCCCCCCCGAACCTCCTTATCACCCGAAGGGTGGTCTTATAGGTGTATATATATATATATGTATGTATATGTATGTATTATACCGCTATCATTCCCTCGCTGCCCCCTGTTTGGGCCTCCTGGGAGGCCCTCGTCGCCACCGCTGGCTTCGCCTCCTGTCAGAACGCACCCCGGGAGAGGTGCTGGGAGCAGCGGCAGCGGTATCGGTACCTGTTGGTCTCGCAGAGGGCGCCCGAAGGTAGCCCAGGCCAGCCTCAACGCAGAGGGGGACAATGGTGCCGATGCCGAGATCCTGCCTCGCGTTTACCTTTTTCTGGCCTCCTGGGTCGCGCTCGTCTCCCCGGCCTGATTCGCCTCGAAAATGCTTGTCAGAACGCACGTCCGTGGAGTGGCGTATCGGTATTGGTTGCACCGAGCTCCCAGGGTACCGCTGGCACGAGAGGTAAGATAAGAGCAACCCCGCCAGGCTTGGAACGGTACCCTTCCGTTCTCTGCGTTCGGGCCTTCCACCCTCGAATTGTATTCGTCGGGCATGGGGAGCTCCTCTGGCTGCCCCGAGTTCACGAGACATGGCCCAGTCCAGAGCTGAGCAGGGGCACCGCGTCCCAGAGCCTGGGGGGCGCTTGGTCGGTGTTCCTGCGAACTCCTGGCTCCATACGGTTTGATTCCGAGCCGTCTTCCTACGAGCCGAGGCGACGCCCGCGTCCGTGGGCAGGGCTTGTTGGGATCTTAGGCCGAGGTCTGCAAGGGCGTCCGCGGTCGATCCGGCTGCGCCGCAGTCTTTTGCGCTCTGTCGGTTCGCTCGGTTGCCGCGTGGTTGCCTCCCTCTCCGCTGCTTCCGGTCGGCTCGGATTCGGTCGGTTTCGGTTTCGCTGCCGGTTCGGGCGATTTGGGCTGCGCTGTCGCCATGTTGGGGCCTTTTGCTGCGCACGAGGTTCGTGGTGTTTCCAGCGCGCGTGCGCCCCCGCCCTCACTGGCACAGAAAACGTTCTCCGAGGGACTCGAATGGTCTACCCGAGTCAAAGGGAACTAGGCAGGACGGGATGGAGTCCAGGGGAGGGGAGTCGGGGCGCAGGTTTAGACATGGAGGGTCACTTCCAGAATGCTCGGCTCAACGGGGATGATCGTGCTCAAGCCCTCAACTGCCCTGAGCATGCATCTCGCCCTCTGTTATTTCATTTGCGGTGGCGATCGGGGCAACTCGCTACAAGCGCGCCTTGTTACGACATACTGATAATTGGGAGCCCAGTCTGTGGCTGGGGCGTCAGGAGGCAATGCTGCGGCGTCGCAAAGCCAGTGGAAGCAAAAGGGCGATAAGGCCGACGTTATTGAGCACAGCCATCATGGTTTTAGATCTGACGCGGGAGGCATCCGCATCTTCTCGAGCTTTCTTCTGGCCTCTTTTGCCGTGGTACTGGAAGGCCCTGGTCCACTCGGGAAACACCATGGGGCCGTCTAGGGCAAATCTGGGCGCTCCTATCCGCGGCCCGCCCCGTAACGCCCAGGGGAGCGTTCTGGCCCCCCTTCGGAAGATACACACAAAGACTGGCCTGTCTCGAAGAGCTCCTTCGCTAACGCCCGCAGGGCTGGTGGCACTGCCGCGGCCGTGAGCTCTTCTGGTGGATCTAGTTCGCTTTGTGCTGAGCCATTGTTGATCCGACCTTTCTCGAGGCCGACATCGACTCGCAGTTTTGGGTGCGAGTCGATGTCGGCCGCGAGAAAGGTTGGCAGAAGTCTGGCTTGCCGCTAATTGGACGGGAGGCATCTGGAGACTCGCAGGCGGGCATTGCAGTGCCATGGGGGGAAGGGAGATGCATCATGCCTGCTCGGCGCGCGATGGGGCGCGCTGCTGGCCGCCACGGGGACGACCGACAGTTTTTTTGCGCTGCTTTCGGAACTCTTACACGGGGTGTTGCAGAAACAGCTCTCTGCCTTCGAGGATAGAGATGCCACCTCTTCCTCGGCGGAAGGGCGGTGGAAGGCTGGCCGCCTCCGCCGGCGGAAGGCGGCGGACGTACAAGACGTGCCCCCAAGAGATGAAAGCAATTTTGGGTTCAGAGTTCCCGAAAACGCCCACGCGTGGGGACCTCCGGGGCGCTGATGGGGCAGGCCGACGTGCCAGGACGTGCCTCCCCTCGGGCGCCCGCGCGCCGCCGGGCGCTCCCCAGGACGTGCCCGCCGTTGCGCGCAGCCGCTCCCGCAGCGCGGACAGGAGGAGGCGCGAGAGGCGCCACCGCACGACCTTGGCGACGACGACGACGACGACGACGTCGACAATGACGACGACGACGCTGGCGACGACAACGACGACAGTCGACGAAGACGACGACGACGACGTCGACGACGACGACGACGACGACAACGACGACGACGACGACGGCGACGCTGGCGACGACAAAGACGAAAGTCGACGAAGACGACGGCGCGATCGACGACGACGATCGACGACGACAGCCAACGACGACGACGACGCCGGCGACGGCAACCGCGACGACGAGGACGCCAGTGACCACGACGATGACGCCGGCGACGACGACGACGAGGAGGACGAGGACGCCTGCGACGAGCAGGAGGATCATGAGCAGGAGGAGGACGACAGCCGGGAGCACGTCGGCGGTGGGGGGTTGAGGCGAGGAGGAGGACGGCCAGGAGCACGGGGGGGTGGAGGCGAGGAGGAAGGGGCCAAGGAAGGAGTGGCGGGGGGGCAGGAGGGGCTGGGCAGGGAGGAGGAGGAGGAGCAGAAGGAGCAGGAGCAGGAGGAGGAGGAGCAGAAGGAGGAGGAGCAGGAGGAGGAGGAGGAGGAGGAGGAGGAGGCGGAGGAGGAGGAGGAGGAGGAGGAGGAGGAGGAGGAGGAGGAGGAGGAGGAGGGCGGCGAGGACGGCCAGGAGCACGTCGGCGGCGCGCGGCGGCGGCGGCGAGAGGCGGCAGCGCTGGCAGCTGGCGTCCTCGGGCAGCGGGGGCAGCGCCGCGCCGCTGCCGGCGCGCCGACCCGCCCGCACCCGCCGTGCGCCGCGGGCCGCGCAGGGCCGGTGGCGGTCGACGACGACACTTCGACGACGACGACGACGACGACGGCGACGACGACGACGACGACGACGACGACGACGCCGACGCCGACGCCGACGCCGACGCCGACGCCGACGACGACGACGACGACGACGACGACGACGGCGACGACGGCGACGACGACGACGACGGCGACGACGACGACGACGACGATGACGACGACGACGACGGCGGCGGAACGCCTGCGACGAGGAGGAGGGCGGCGACGAGGCGAGGAGGGGTCGGGTGCTCGCTGGGGTCTGAAGTGGGCCAGCATGGGTCCGGGCAGCAGGGGAAGGGGGGGAAGGGGTGCGAGGTTCCGGATTCGAGCAGGTGTTCTCTTTTTTCGGTATCCGCGGGCAGCGTGCGGGCCCCAGTGCCGTCAAACTTGGATCCGCAGTGTACAACTGCACCAGGAGGACCCCAGAGGGGGATCCCAGGACCGATTTTTTTACCGATGTGGCCTCGCCGCCCTCGTCACAAGTAGGGATACAAAGCTGAAGTTGCGCAGGTTCACCTGGTCGGCCATTCTAGAGCGCTTCCGCTACAGTCGAGGCGGACTGGTAGGTCGACCTGGCCAAATCAAGGGTGCTCTTGCGTCCTATGTTCGGCGACCCCTGACTTTTTCATTCATATGGCAATGTGGCCCACGGAAGGGTCTCGTGTCCTCTCGCGAGTCCTCTCCAGCCAGCCTCGATTGCATCAAGCTTCAGATTGGTACGAGCCCGTGTCCGTTCGCATAGCCTGGGGGTGCGGCAGTGGCTCCTCGAAAAGGGAGCGGTTATGGCCCCATGAGGAGAAGCGGACATGATGCTCAGTCGAATTCTCTCGCCCCTGGGCGGGCATATGGTGCGCCCGCGTTCGGCGATCGCCATCCTATTTCCCCACATCCTGAGTGGGATTATTGTTTTTTCTGCACGCCCACCACGCAGTCCCCACGCACCTCCTTTCACACACACACACACACACTCACTCACTCACTCACACACACACCCTCCTCACCATGTTGTCAAAGTCACGATTTCCATCCTCGTCATCATCACCGCACGATCATCATCCATCATACGTACTATCATCCCATGATGGTCACCGCTCCTCCTCCTCTTCCTCCTTTTTCTCCTTCTCCTCCTTCTCCTCCTCCTCCTCCCTTTCCTCATCATCATCGTCATCGTCGTTTTCTATAGACACCCCCGCGCAGGAAGAGTACCCCCACATCATCATCGTGAGTGATGTGCGTGGAAGTCTCCGGCACCATTTGGGGCCCGCAGCTCATGTTGCTAAGCTGAGCGGGCCATCGGAACCTTGTAATTGTCGTCATTATTGGGCCTTAGTGGGCCCCGGAAACTGCAGGGCCGTTTTTTCACCCTTTTTCAAAAAAACGTACCTTGAAAATGGAGACGGTAAAAAAACGGCGACCAGAAACGGCAACAAAAATTGCTCCAGGATTGGAACCGGAGCGGGAACCCGCAAAAGAACGGCGACGGAACCGTTAGCAAAAAACGGTGTCGGAACCGGCAAAGAAACAGCAAAACGGAACCGGTAAAAAAACGTCCTTGTCGTTTCCAGGGCCCTTTAAGTCCTCAGTCATGAATGGGGTGGACGTCTCGAGCGGGATCCTCCTCTGTGAGTTATTTGCGAGGATGTCTCAGGCGGGAACCCCTTCCCGAAGGGGTCCGCAGTTCATGTTACGAATCCGAGCGGGTCGTCGGAACCCTGTAATTGTCCTCACTCTGTGTCTCCTCGGTCCTGACTGTGGTGACGTCTCGAGCTGGAGCCTCGTCTGCGAGCGACTGGCGCGCAGCCTCTGTGGACCGTCACTGCACCGCTTGCGTCGCTCTGAGGGACGTCGGTGGTCGAGCACGCACTGGCGCTAGCACGCGCGCCGAGGATCACTGATGGAAGCGGGAAAAGAAGGTTCCGCCCCAGCACTATGTTGTTCCCATCCTACTTCAGGACCGCACCCCCCAAAATGACTTCGATCACCCAGGAAGCTCTCGAAACGGTGTCTGCCCGATCGACACGTCAGCGAAGTGTCGAAGGAGCATCGCGTCCCGGGGCCCGACGCGAGAAGAGACCCGCCAGCTCCGGCACTCTCGTGGCGCTCGCACGTCGCTCTGGCGACCACGGCCGACGCAGGCTGGAGCATCAGCACCCCGGCAGGCTTCGGCACTGGTGCCGGGCGCCTCCGCCAGCACCGCCTCGGCCGCCGCAGCGCCCGCCGCCCCCGCGGCGGCGCCCGCCGCGGCGGCGCCCGCCGCCCTGCCCCCCGCGGCGCCCGCGGGCCGCGCCCGCGGCCCGCGCCCGCCGCGCCCCCCGCGGCGCCCGGCGGGCCCCGCCGCCCGCTGCCGCGCCCGGCGAGGCGGCGCCCGCCGCCGCCGCGGCCCCGCGCGGCGGCGCGGCGGCCGCGCCGGCCGCCGCGGCGCCGGCGAGGGCGCCGGGCGGCGCCGCGGCCGTGTGCAGCGGCGCGGCTGCGGCGTGGCAGGCCGTGGGGAGGCAGGGAGCGCGCTCCACGACTCGCCCAAAGGTGGCGACCCTCAAGCGTTGGCACAAGGCACGTGCGGCCCCACAGAACGGATCGTGAAGCATCCCCGCGGCGGCTCCAGGCCATTCGCGAGCAGTCACTTTGCGAGGAGTGGAGCGCGCTTGTCCAGGGAGGGTACCCGCAGCCTCGGTCAGGAGGAGGCACAAGTCACGCCAGGGCCCTGGGGTGGCCCTGCCAGGCAGGGCAGCGGTGGCATGCTGGTGCCTTCTGCGTCCTGGGCAGGGGTGGCCAGCTCTCGAGTTCCGGGTCGCCCGGGTAGGGCCAGAGCCGAGAGTGTCGGAAGATCCCGTCGCGTCGCCGATACAATCGCCGACGCTGCGACATTTGGAACCCTACCTTGTGTCGCCGATGCATCGGCAATGCAGTGCGATCCTCCCGACCCACCCGCTTTGGCCTTACGCAAGAGGCTTACGCCTTTCCGCCGACTACAGAAGAGGATCTGGTGCGGCTTCCGATTCCCTATGTGTTGTTTGCCGCGTCCCGCCGTGCTGCCCATTGGAGGCCTCGGGGGTGTCCTCGTGGGACCCTTGTCAGGGCCCGTGAAAGCGTTTGGGGGCCCGCGTGGGTGCCATCTTGCAGGGGAGGGTTCGCGGGGCCCCATGCGCAGTGCAAGTTGCCCCGCTTGGGCCTCCCCGGCCCTTCGTGGGGCCCTCCTGCAAGGGTTTTTGGCTGTCTTGGGAGCCGTATGGGCAGGCTTGGGGCCCTCTTGGCCATCTTCGGACCCTCGTGGCTCTTGGGGTCCTTCATGCCGTCTTGGGCCAATCTGGGGGGCCTTCTCGGTATGTCTCGGGGTCCCGAAATGGCTGATTGCGGAAATCATCCACGAATCCGTAGAACATCTATGATTTGGGCTTCTGGATGTCATCTTGTGGATCCTGTTTGACCCTCTTTGGGTGTCTGCCAGGCCATCTTGGGCCGTATCCCAGGCCTGACTGGGTCTTTATGAGGCCTCTCTGGTGTGTTGGAGCTCTTCTTGTGCTGTCTTGGAGTGCGCTCTGCACATCTTGGGGGCGACGGACGGTGGATTGACGCGGCTCCGAGAGCCCTGGAAGTGGGCTGACGGGTGCGTATGGGGCCCCGCCCCCCTGGAACGGGGATGTTCGACTCCAGGAGCGGGGGAACCATGGAAGGGGGAGAGTCAATCACTCGGTAAGCGGGGGTCGGCAGATTTTGGCGGCCTTCATGATCGCGGGGGGGGGGGGATTGCAAACAGTCCATCCGACGTCATAACTATACGGCGCCGATGGCTCCAGGGGCCGATCGGTTTCGTCCCAGGGGCAAGTGTGTATCTCCTCCGGGTCACTTTGTTGATGGGCTTTGGGTCTGCAGCGGGCCTCCTCAACCCAGAGGCCGAGCACTCTGAAAAGCCAGCCGGTCCCAAAGGTGGGGTATGGGGTTTTGTTGTTCGGGTCCTGGGGCTAAGCGCCAAAAGGTCTTTAGTTTTGGTCCCCCCCACCTCTCTCTCGGTGGTGAGTAGGCTGGTCCGAAATCCTCCTCCTGCCTCCTCCTCCTCCTCTGGCAAAATCATGAGTTACCCCCTCATGGTGGGATACAAGTCCTTCAATAAGGCCGCCGGGCGAATAATTAGTTGCCCCGTCTATTGGGGGGGGGTTGTAAAGACCTTTCAGGGCGACCTTTGCATCTGGGAGGCAGGGTGGGCATCTTCGGCTGGTTTGTGGCGACCCTGTGGCTTCCCCAGGCCCAGGCCCAGGCCCAGGCGGTCACTGGCCTCCTCATGAGGCCTCACTCGGAGCCTCTGGGTGCCCTCTCGAGGCATCTTGGGGGCCTCCCTCGGGGCCAGTCGGGGCTGTCTTCGGCTCCTCATCGAGCCCTGCTGGGCCCCTCGAGAGGCTGTCCCGGAGGAGTCGTTGCCGAGGATCCCCCTGGGCCAGGCTCCGCTCGCTCGGCGCTCGCGGCACGCGTTTCGCCCTATACCTCGGAGGCCTGCGCCGTTCCGCCGACCTCCGGAGGGGGGAGGAAGTCCACGGGGAGGCTCTGGGGAGGCTTTTTGGGAGACCGTTGGGGAGCCGGAGGCGTTTTCCCCTGTACCTCAGAGGCTTGCGCCATCCCGCCGACCTCCAGAGGGGGGAGGAAGTCCACTGGGAGGCTCTGGAAGGCTCCTCCTCCTCCTCCTCCTCCTCCTCCTCCTCCTCCTCCTCTCCTCCTCCTCCTCCTCCTCCTCCTCCTCCCCCTCTCCTCCTCCTCCTCCTCCTCCTCTCCTCCTCCTCCTCCTCCTCCTCCTCCCTCCTCCTCCTCCTCCTCCTCCTCCTCCTCCTCCTCCTCCTCCTCCTCCTCCTCCTCCTCCTCTTTGGGAGACCGTCTGGGGAGCCCCTGGGGGAGCTCGCGGCACGTGCTCGCCCCCACGCTGCGCTGCTCGCCCGCGCGCAGAGGGGGGGTGCTCTGGCGCCCGCCCAGCACGGGGGGCGCCGTCGGCGAGGCCTGGCCGCACGCAGGGCCCGAGGTATGAAGATCGAGGTCGCTTCGGGGAGGGTGCCCATACTTCGACGACACGTAAGATCTGACGAACGAACAACACACCCATACCCATAGGGGGGTCGTTGGGAGGAGGACTGGCTATGGGTATGGGTGCGGGTTGTCGGACCCTGGGGAACGCTCCCGTTCGAGCGGGGACCTCTATCCGACAACACGCACCCATAGCCCTCTCCGACACCCCTGTGGGTATGGGTGTGTGCTGTTGGTTCGTCAAGATCGGGGCTGGACAGACCACCTACCCTGACACGTCGATTAGTGAATTGTCCTTTTTCGGTTCTCGAGAGGGCGCCGCGGCCGTTCTTTTCCAGGCTTGCGCCCGCCAGGTTTTGGCCCGAGGTCGTTTTCAGTAAACCACGTTTTACTGAAGGGAGGTCTGTCCATCCCCGATAAGAGTGACCTTTTGCCAGAGTGACCTTTGGTGCAGGCTCATCAGGTTCCCCCCGATCGCCGAGCGCGATGCGGCACAAGCGGCCCGCGCCCTTGGGTTCGGCTCCCTCGCGCCCCCAAAAGCTGCGCACAAAATGTCACTCTTACCCAGGGTCACTCTTACAGGCACAACAGTTAAGTTGATCCGGGGTGTTGAAGTCGCAGGAATGGCGTTCTTGCGCGATCCAGGATCGTCAAGATGAAACAATCAGGTTGATTTGTGGCGTTGGCATCCCGAGAGCAATTCTTTGGCATGCTTCAGGGTCGTCAAACGGATGTCATCCAACGAGGCAGTCCCTCAATGGAAATGAACCGCTGTAGTGGCCTATGAAGAGGGAGCTTGGAGGGACGGTTTATTCTAATATCGTTGATGATTCTTGGGTTTACACTGGTCCTTCTCCTCTTTCTCCTCCTCTTGCTTCTCCTCCTCCTTCTCCTCCTCCTCCTCCTCCTCCTCCTCCTCCTCTCTCCTCCTCCTCCTCCTCCTCCTCCTCCTCCTCCCTCCTCTCTCCTCCTCCTCCTCCCCCCCCTCCTCATCATCATCTGTATCACCCTCCTCCCGCACCCCCTTCCTCTCCTCCTTCTCCTTCGACCCCATGGTTCTCTACTTCGTCCCCTCCCTGCCTCCCCCCCCACCTCCGGCATCCAACGCGTGCTCCTTCCCGTAAGTGTGTATGCTTCTTCGAACCGCCCCCCCGCTGCCCCGCCCACAGGCGCAGGAGGACGGCGTGGACTCACCTCCTCTGCCCCTGCTGCCCCCCGCAGTAGAGCCGCCTGCAGCTGGTGCCCAGCGCGCCGCGGCACAGGCGGTGACGACTGGGCAGCATCCACCGCCACCCCGTCCTCGGCCTTTTCTTTGGGGAACAGACAATGACATCAAAATGAAAGCTCGAACGTCCGCGCGAACCTCCGAGTTCTCAAGTTCATCATTGCTTGTTCCCCTATTTCTTGCTCTCCTGGGCCGTCTCGGGCCCCCTCTTGGTCGCCTGGCTGCAACTGGGCCCCTCTGGGTCCGCGGATCCGATCCTCGAACGCCGACGGACGACGATGGCGCCCCTGCCCCCCATCGGCGCAGGTCGGACGAGGCGAGGACCAGGATGAATCCGTTCCAGAGCGTTCCGGAACGCTCTCGGAGGGTTCCGGACTTGCTCTGGGAAGGCCGCGGCTTCGCCTCAGACGACGACGCTCCTGCCCCCCCCATCCGCGCAGGCGGGCGGCGCGGAGTCCCCCCCCCTGCCCCCGGTGCCCCCCGCGCCGGAGCCGGGCGCCGCAGAGCGGGGGGCGCAGACCGGGCCCGAACCACCGCCGCCCGGCCCTCGGCCTCCTGCGCGCAGGGCCCGTTTCGATCCGATCGAGCTTGTGGATCCTCATCCTCCCTCCTCCTCGCTCCTCCTCTTACTCCTCCTCCTCCCTCCTCCTCCTCCTCCTCCTTCTCCTCCTCCTCCTGGTCCTCCTCCTCCTTCTCCTCCTGCTCCTCCCTCCTCCCTCCTCCTCCTCCTTCTCCTCATCCTCCCTTCTCCTCCTCCTCCTCCTCCTCCTCCTCCTCCTCCACCTCCCAGGTCGGGAGTGCCACACCCTCGCTTGTGGCTGGCGTTCGTGGGTGCACTGCAGCAGATGGGAGACAGAGTGGGAGCGCAGACGGTGGCGAAGATGCGACAGTGCATGGACGGTGCCAGGGCGGATCAGACGTCCAGCAACGATGCGCTCGCGAGCCGAGTGAAGTACTGCAGGGTGAGCCACACGCGCGACAGGTCGGTGATGAAGGTTTTCCCTCGAGTCCAGCCAGACGGGCATCCAGGCGTAGTTGCTGGCAGCGCTGGTCCAGTGCGGCGCCTCCATCAAGAAGGGCACCCCGCCCAAGAACCACCAGGAGAGACTCTTGCAGCTGGCGCTGGACGGCCTCGAGGATCTCTGACGATGCTGATGAAGAACATGGAAGCGAGTACGAGACTGGACAGAGCGGGGGCCGAGAGAGAGTCTCACGAGAGAGAAGTGAACCACGGCCGCCGCCGCTCCGTCGCCACGCCCGAGCTGGAGTTGTAGTGGACCCCGCACGTTTAGGCAGGGACTCCAGCCTCTCCCGACCTCCTCCCCCGTCCTCCGTGACGTCGTCGAGCCGTCCTTGTCCTTGTTTCTCCTCCTCCTCCTCCTCCGCCCTTGATCACGCAATGTACGTACCGTTTAATCCATGGGTCTCGGAGCCGACCTAGGGCCCAGTATTTTTTCTCTCGCGTTGCGTTGTTCTTTGGAACTTCGTGTCTATATTGTTCCGTTTCGTTCCTGGAGCCCGCCTCTGAGAATCCCAGTTTAGGTTTGTTGAGTGCGCGGCGTAGCCCAGCCCCTGGGACATTTCCGATCTGCGTTAGTTGTGGCGCGCCTGAGCCCTCCCCGCCGTTAGATCGCACCGCTGACATAGCGCACTCTAGTCACCTGAGCCGACTCTCTGATGTTCGATATTCACACAGCTCAGTCAGACAAGTGTACCTGCAGAGCTCGGAAGCCGCCGCCGCCTCTTCCTCCTCGTCCTCCTCCTCCTCCTCCTCCGCCCCCTCCTCCTCCTTCTCCTCCTCCTCCTCCTCCTCCTATTCCTCCTCCCCCTCTTCGCCTTCTCCTCCTCCTCCTCCTTTTCCCCTTTCTCCTTCTCCTCGCCCTCCTCCTGCGCATCCCACTCCTGCTGCCGCTCACGACGCTCCTGCCCCTGCTGCTGCCGCGGCTGCCGCCTCGCCGCCGCCGCAGCCCTTGCCGCCACAGCTGCCCCGCCCGGGCCGATAGGCGGGATGGGCATAGGGGGGACGGGCATAAGGGGGGATGGGCCGGTAGGAGCGCGATATCCCCAGCCTGCTCAGGAGCTTGCGGATTCACTATCGGGGCCCTGTGCTCGATCTATCGGTGATGTATCGTCGGGTCCAGGTCCATGTGCACCCCCTATGCCAGTCTACCCCTATCGTTGCCCTTCAATCCTGATTCCAACCGGCCCGGCCCGAGGCGAGTCCGATATTCCGACGAGCCGACGCGGCCTGGTGTTTGCACGGCGTTGTTGCGCATCTTGGCGCAGCCGATTCGATACTACCTCGTTTGCCCGAGCGCACATTCCGATCCCATGCGATGTTTTTTGTTCCCCACATCCTAAGTGGGGTTCTTGTTTTCTCTGCACACCCTCCGCGCAGGATCTCCTCCTCCTCCTCCCTCTCCTCTGCTCCTCTTTGCTTCCTCCTCCGCATCATCATCACCATCACCATCACTCCCCACTCATCATCATCATCATCACCATCAGCATCACCATCACCATCCCACGATCACTCACCATCATCGGCATTGAACGATCATCATCATCATCATCATCATCATCATCATCATCATCATCATCATCATCATCATCATCATCATCATCACTACTCGCTGACTTGAGGCCTGAATATGGAGGAAGTCTCGAGCGGGAGCCTCGTCTGTGAGTGAATTGCGAGGAAGTCTCAGGCGGGAGCCCCCTCCCTATGGGGCCCGCACTTCATGTTTGAATCCGAGCGGGTCATCCGCAACGTGCAACTGTCGTCACTTTTGGGCTCTTGAGACTTGAATATGGAGGAAGTCTCGAGCGGGAGCCTCGTCTGTGAGCGAATTGTGAGGAAGTCTCAGGCGGGAGCCCCCTCCCTATGGGGCCCCACTTCATGTTTGAATCCGAGCGGGTCATCCGCAATGTGGAACTGTCGTCACTTTTGGGCTCTTGAGATATGAATATGGAGGAAGTCTCGAGCGGGAGCCTCGTCTGTGAATTGCGAGGAAGTCTCAGGCGGGAGCCCCCTCCCCATGGGGCCCGCACTTCATGTTTGAATCCGAGCGGGTCATCTGCAACGTGCAACTGTTGTCACTTGTGGGCTCTTGAGACTTGTATATGGAGGAAGTCTCGAGCGGGAGCCTCGTCTGTGAGTGAATTGCGAGGAAGTCTCAGGCGGGAGCCCCCTCCCTATGGGGCCCGCACTTCATGTTTGAATCCGAGCAGGTCATCCGCAACGTGCAACTGTCGTCACTTTTGGGCTCTTGAGACTTGAATATGGAGGAAGTCTCGAGCGGGAGCCTCGTCTGTGATTGAATCGTGAGGAAGTCTCAGGCGGGAGCCCCCTCCCTATGGGGCCCGCGCTTCATGTTTGAATCCGAGCGGGTCATCCGCAACGTGCAATTGTTGTCACTTTGGGGCTCTTGAGACTTGAATATGGAGGAAGTCTCGAGCGGGAGCCTCGTCTGTGAGTGAATTGCGAGGAAGCCTTAGGCGGGAGCCCCCTCCCTATGGGGCCCGCACTTCATGTTTGAACCCGAGCGGGTCATCCACGACGTGCAACTGTCATCACTTCTGGGCTCTTGAGACTTGAATATGGAGGAAGTCTCGAGCGGGAGCCTCGTCTGTGAGTGAATCGTGAGGAAGATTCAGGCGGGAGCCCCCTCCCTATGGGGCCCGCACTTCATGTTTGAATCCGAGCGGGTCATCCGCAACGTGCAATTGTTGTCACTTTTGGGCTCTTGAGATTTGAATATGGAGGAGGTCTCGAGCGGGAGCCTCGTCTGTGAGTGAATTGCGAGGAAGTCTCAGGCGGGAGCCCCCTCCCTATGGGGCCCGCATTTCATGTTTGAATCCGAGCGGGTCATCCGCAACGTGCAACTGTCGTCACTTTTGGGCTCTTGAGACTTGTATATGGAAGAAGTCTCGAGCGGGAGCCTCGTCTGTGAGTGAATTGCGCGGAAGTCTCAGGCGGGAGCCCCCTCCATATGGGGCCCGCACTTCATGTTTGAATCCGAGCGGGTCATCCGCAACGTGTAACTGTCGGTACTTTTGGGCTCTTGAGGCTTGAATATGGAGGAAGTCTCGAGCGGGAGCCTCGTCTGTGAGTGAATTGCGAGGAAGTCTCAGGCGGGAGCCCCCTCCCTATGGGGCCCGCACTTCATGTTTGAATCTGAGCTGGTCATCCGCAACGTGTATTTGTCGTCACTTTTGGGCTCTTGAGATATGAATATGGAGGAAGTCTAGAGCGGGGGGCCTCGTCTGTGAGTGAATTGCGAGGAAGTCTCAGGCGGGAGCCCCCTCCCTATGGGGCCCGCACTTCATGTTTGAATCCGAGCGGGTCATCCGCAACGTGCAACTGTCGTCACTTCTGGGCTCTTGAGACTTGAATATGGAGGAAGTCTCGGCGGGAGCCTCGTCTGTGAGTGAATTGCAAGGAAGTCTCAGGCGGGAGCCCCCTCCCTATGGGGCCCGCACTTCATGTTTGAATCCGAGCGGGTCATCCGCAACGTGCAATTGTCGTCACTTTTGGGCTCTCGAGATTTGAATATGGAGGAAGTCTCGAGCGGGAGCCTCGTCTGTAAGTGAATTGCGAGGCAGTCTCAGGCGGGAGCCCCCTCCCTATGGGGCCCGCGCTTCATGTTTGAATCCGAGCGGGTCATCCGCAACGTGCAATTGTCGTCACTTTTGGGCTCTTGAGACTTGAGTATGGAGGAAGTCTCGAGCGGGAGCCTCGTCTGTGTGTGAATTGCGCGGAAGTCTCAGGCGGGAGCTCCGTCCGTATGGGGCCCGCACATCACGTTTGAATCTGAGCTGGTCATCCGCAACGTGTATTTGTCGGTACTTTTGGGCTCTTGAGGCCTGACTATGGAGGAAGTATCAGGCGGGAGCCTCGTCTGTGAGTGAATTGCAAGGAAGTCTCAGGCGGGAGCCCCCTCCCTATGGGGCCCGCACTTCATGTTCGAATCCGAGCGGGTCATCCGCAACGTGCAACTGTCGTCACTTTTGGGCTCTCGAGACTTGAATATGGAGGAAGTCTCGAGCGGGAGCCTCGTCTGCGAGTGAATTGTGAGGAAGTCTCAGGCGGGAGCCCCCTCCCTATGGGGCCCGCGCTTCATGTTTGAATCCGAGCGGGTCATCCGCAACGTGCAACTGTCGTCACTTCTGGGCTCTTGAGACATGAATATGGAGGAAGTCTCGAGCGGGAGCCTCGTCTGTGAGTGAATTGTGAGGAAGTCCCAGGCGGGAACCCCAGGAGGAAGAGGAAAGGGCAAAGGGTAAGCTAAACAGATTCTCATGTGGGGTCCTACCGTCGGAGTAATTCGGTGCTCATCGATCCTCGCCCGTCTCGTTCAAACATCACGGCGTGATGCTCGTGTTGGCAGGCTCATCGGCTTCTCGGGGGTCCCTTACATGGACCCCAGGGCCGTCAAATGACGGCTCAGGGCGAATAGCTGCGGTCAAGACCTGCGGGGGTCCGCGTTGCGAGCAAAATTACGGCGCCTTCCTCCCGCGACACCTCCTCGTCCTCACCGGAAATCTGGCGACCTGATTGGTCGGAGTGTCGCCTCCAGACCCGTTGCCCCCCTCCTCCCCAGGGCTGGCCTCTCTTTAACCCGTCTCTTGGATGCCATTGGGGCAGAAGCCGGCCGCCTCTGGGCATCTGCGTCGTCCTCCTCTCAGGAGAGGAAAAAACACATAGACACAATTAATCTTCGATTCCCTAGAAAATATGAAAAAATATGGGAAGTGGGGGGGAAGACAGAAACCCAGAAAATATAGGAACATATGGGAATCTTTTTATTTGTGTGTATTTATTTGTGTGTCCTGGGGCCCCTTCATCCTCTCTCTGGGCCAGTCGAGACAACGGCAGCCTTCCCGGCAGGCCAGAGTCGGCCCCCAGTGCCCCTCCATGGGTCCATCCTGGCCCGTTGGTCGACGCGGCGACGAGAAGCCCCGGGAGGCCCAGAAAGGGCGAACAAACGCTAGGGAATGGTCGCTGTTGTCTCGATGGGCTCTCCTCCTCCTCCTCCTGTTCCTTCTCCTCCTCCTCCTCCTCCTCCTGTTCCTTCTCCTCCTCCTCCTCCTCCTCCTCCTCCTCCTCCTCCTCCTTTTCCTCCTCCTCCTCCTCCTTCTCCTCCTCC